AACTAAATCTTCAAACAAACAATTCATACCTGACAAGCATCAACTCATTGACCGAACGCCACATTCCACGTCCATCTTTGGGCAATTGGTCTCTCGCACTTCGGCAATGCCATAACTCTTTAGCAACATACATAACTTCCTCAACATCAACCTACATGCGTAAAACATCAAGTATCATATCTGATAAAATGACAAGAATGCATGTATAGAAGATTGGGCACAAAGCATTTTCTCCAAATTAATAAGCCAAAGAGGATGTTCCAGAATGTAGTGAGGAAATCCATAACTGAGTACCTCAACATGCATTGCTGTACCATATTGCAACTCCTCATGCTCAATAAGCCGCTGATGGAGGACATGATAATGATCCATATCAAAATTAACAACTGGTTCCATGTGAACTTGCATTCCCGCCAGTTGAGTTACGACATATGAAGCCATGATTTGTCCAAAAATTGCTGGAATGGTTCCAAGGACTGGAATGATTCGAACTCGAAAACCTGGAACAATCTAGCAATCAACCTTAATGAATGATTACTTTTTTATGACCTGAGAAGAATAAACTTTAACAGATAACAGCTTAATTTGGAAAGCATAATAAAGTTCTGATCTTCAGCCTCAGTCAAAGTAACCCATCTTAGTGAGTAACAGAATGTGTTCCGAAAGATTTGAAAAATTATGAACACGACTAGTTCTAGACAAGAATAGTCGTAGATGTTCCATTGAAAGTTTATTGTGCTTACTTGATAATCTGAAGGATTTTCTTCTTCTCCACTTGGTCCTTTGAAAGGAAGCAGTTTTGCCTTGGGTTTCTCCAATGAGAAAACTACAGGAATACCACCATCAATGCCGTAATCTTTCCTCAAACGGTGTCTGACCTGACAATTGATATTACTTGGAGGTCAGCTTGGCTACATACGACCAATTCAAATAAATTTTATGCCAATAATCAATCAAGCAACAGAAATATTTGGTAATTTCAGTGCTAAATAATAAGTAATAGATGGAAGCATACAACATCTAGCACCAATACAACATCTAAATAAAGGAACGTCTCTTGTTATATACTAATTATTTTTATTTATTACCATGATATAGCTACAGAATCATAAACTAATCTACAATGTAAGTACAAATATAACATTGACATGTACCACACAAAAGATACACAATATTCATATAAATCTATATTCGTAGATTTCTAAGGTGGCTCTAACTTCCAATATTCAAAATTGGGTTTCAGCTACTCAATTAACACCCCATGATGCACATAACATTTATGAGTAATTATAATCATATAAGTTGTGCATAAAGTGAATTGTAGCAATCCAAGTTCAGTGCACTGATCAGCCTATTGGCTTATTGATGGCTGAGACACAATCTTGAATATGAGCAGCTGGCAAACGAGCTTCCTTTTGCACTATCACAAAATACCCCAAAATTACACACAACTTCTTGCTACAGCAACACAGTTCTTAAAAATTATTGAGATGATGATTTTTTTTTTAAAAAAATTATCAGATCAACTCGTACCGAACGAGAGAGTGGATCGTTGGTTGATTCCCTTAAGTCAGCCACACGGATTCTTGTTGGATCAGCCCTTGCCCCAGCTCCTGTTGCAGACAGAACTTTTAAACCCCTCCTTACACAAGCAGCAAGAAGAGCAACCTGCAAGCCGTGGTGAACAACAATTTTAGAAACTTCACATTATCAGTGTCGAATAACTTGTTAACTATTCAGAAATCTGGAATATGCATTTCACAAAAAATCTGCAAAAAGTTATGAGTTTCTGGATTTCATTCATTTCTCTGCAAAAATCAACCTTCTAATTTTTGTCATAAATACAATACATTTTATAAGGACAGTAGTAAAATAAAAAAAAAAAGAAGCAATAACTTGCTTACTAAGTACGGAGCTCACAGATACAAAATAACATTTAATACGATACAAAGAGAAGGTACACTTTATTAGGATATTTATTAAAACAATATAACCAAGATCATTTTCTACTCATATCTGAGCGAGCGACGAAGATGCATAGAGGCTCAAGAGAATTTTCAAGTATTCTACCTTTGTATCTATGTTATCAATGCAATCTAGGACAAAATCAGGATTCCCAGACAGAATTTCATCTTCAGAAGATGAATCATATAGTAAAACTTTTGCATCTACATGGCACTCCGGGAAAATAGTTGAGAAATGCTTCTTCAGGCACAGGGCTTTCGGGATACCAACATCCTCTCTAGTTGCAACAGCATGTCTATTCAATGATGAAACTGAGACCTTCACAAACAATTAACAAGCATCATCAGCCAAAAAACAAAAACAAAAAAAAAGTCACTGGATGTTTAAGCAAATAATGATTAGTTCATAATAAGCTTCAGAAACTTCAACAAAAGAAAATGACATGTGACCAGCTCATATGCAGCATTTACAAAGTGCTCGGGAGGGAACACTGGGGAAGGAGGAATGAGTATGGCAGACAATGTGATTGTTTATGTTTGGATTGTAGTGTTTTAGGTTTGATATCTTGAAAGGGGTCTATATCCCCCAAATATGGGGGTATGATAGATGGTTATGGTTTTACCTTTTACATCCCATAAACTAATACCCAACAATGGTAGTTATAGTAATTTTTTAAAACTATTCAACCACCGCAACTATTAGTTTTACTGTTTTAGGATGAATGCTGGTGGCATCCTCAACACATGCAAGTTGGACGAGAAGTGGTGTTCCCAATGCCTGATTAAAATACCTGATCAAAATCGACAAGTAGAAGCTTGCCAACACCAGACCTCAAAAGCATAGATGCAGCATGGCTTCCAACTCCCCCAAGACCAATTACCACAACATAAGAAGACACCACTTTTTTCTGGTTTTCCAAGCCAAAGAACTGAATGTTCCTAATGACATAATAAATTGTTATGAAGTTTAAGCATAAAAGTTCTTAATAGCTAAAACACTCAAGAGGTCAGTTTTCCTTAAAACTAAATTTAAGAAATAAAATAGAATTTTTATAACATTTAAAGTAGCAAAGGCAGTCAAGACCCTACCAGCTAACTGGTATTCTTCATATATTGCAACGCTTAAAAAAGTTATAATAAAGCATCGTATATGCCAATATATAATTTTAGAATAGAAGCAAAAGGATCCTGTTGATAATTAGTATCAGGGGTTCCATCCATGGTTTATTTCGTATTCTTTTAATCCTAATTCGAGAGGTTTGACACTTTCTGAATAAATGAATTCAAAATAGCTACTCTTAACAGTCAGACTTGAGAAGTGGGAGATATCAATAACATTCTCACAACCGATAGAACATTAACTCACCTTGTTAATTGTTCAGACACAATTTCATCAATTAGCAGGTCAGGACCTGCAAGTCCATGGTTCACATCCTCCAAGACCTTACGGTCTGTATCAAGAACAAAGTATGCATATCAGCGATTCATAAAAAAAGATAACCATAAAACAACAGTCAACAAACCGATAGAGAATTCATTCACAAGAAGCATATATTTACTTTTGAGTAACAACTCGAGGTTTCAGCTGCCTAGGTAAACAAATACTCCTGCAGATATACTAGCCAACTGCGCATGCACTGTAGACATAGTAATCAATAAAAAAGGTTCACCATATATTTAAAGGTAAAACAATTTTACCAATGCATTTAAAAATTCGACAAAACCGTGTTGCATTTCACAAGTATGATTTTTTCAATAGTGCATTAGCAACATAACGGTACCACATTATAGTCATCACACTTGCGATGTGCGTAGCTTACATATATACATACAAAAATGAGAAATCAGATATGCCACATTGACTTCAATCCCATCCTGAATGCAAATAATATCTCCCTAAAGTGTCTAAGCCATAACTGACCCAACACTTTAAGAAAACATCGTAGTCCAACCCATGCTAAATTTCACAAAACACTCTTTTGAACATATCATATATCACACCATCAAATTCAGTAAAAACACAATAAAGAACAAGGTAAACACATACTGCACGATTCAGCCGCCATACTGTTCAATTCATTCGTCTCCACAATAGTACATTTCCTTCCACCCCGCCTGCAAAAAATAATCAAGAAAAAAAAGGATGAACTATCAAGATTCAAGCATAGAGCTAACATAAATTTCAGTTAACGCCATCCATTTTTGCTTTCCACGTATTAATCTCCATAGATTAAGTAAAAACAATCAACGAAAAAATAAAGACAGAAAAGACTATGGGGTTTATTGCGTGCAGGGGTACCTGGCCTTTAGCAGCTTCAAAATAGCAATTGTAGCAGTAGAACCCAGCAGAGCTCCTGCTCCTAGAAACACCAGATTTTTCCCCTTTTCTCCCATCTCAGACTGTGAAGTATTTGGTTGGGCGTCTGTGTGAGCGCGCGCAAGATGGAAAAATGACACAACGGTAGGCTTTGAAGTGTAGATGAAAAACCATAGATGTATTGGAGTGGACTATAGCCCATACATTTTTCNTATAATACAATTTACTTACATTTAGTTTTTTTTTTATATATTTGGTGATATGATCACACAATTGTGGTGTTTATATAGTGACTGCGTATGTGAATGATGTGTAATTTTTAAAAAAATATTATTTTTTAAAAAATAATATAAAATACAAGAAATTCATATATTATTAATGTAATAATTTACTTTATCAAAATATAATTTACTCATATTCCATTCTCAAAGTTTGCATATCAACGTCACAACATGGATTGAATTATCACACTTTGTACCTGCCAATTTGAGAGAGAAAATTAGTACGTAGCCCGTACGGTATACGAGACAATAATTATAATTGCATGTGTGTAAGCAATGAAGGAATATTGATTAGTATAAAAATACATTTGAATATTAATAATTATTTTTTTCTTTTATTTTACGATATATAATAATTTAATATATAATTTATATGTTTATTTCACTCGTCATAAAATAATTATCATTTTAAATTATGCTTACAATTAAGGATAATAAAATTTTAATATATTCAAATATTATTAATAAATAAACTCACATGATACTTCTGTCCCTCTATCTTCTCTTACCGGTGCCTTGTTACATGTATTATTTTGATTTCTATAAGTTAGACTAAAGTTGAAACATTGTGGCAAATATTATAACCGACACTTAATTTAAAAAGATTGTAATATATATTATTTTGAACTTAAGAAAAATTATTAATTTTTTATTGCATCAATATTATTTTATTTTTTTTATAATTTGTGATACTGTAAATATTTAATTTTCATTTCTAATCTAATAATTTTTATGAGATTTGTTATGATATTGTGAATCGCAACATTATTTTTTAAAAATTGGTTTGATGCGGTTATCGATAAGATCAAAGGATATTGTTGAACTCATTCAATAGATGATTTTTGGTATATGACTCGTAATATTAATCGGGTCGGTCTACAACATGTATGTATAATTTATTTTTTATTTTTTTTATAAATATTAAAGTAATTTTTACTATATATCCTTTAATAATAAGTCAACTTATTTAATTACAACGTCAAACTTATTATTTTAGATTATTCCATCAATCTCTTTCAATATATATATATATGATATAGATTAGCTTATCAGAATTTACTTATCATCCTAGGTAAAAACTATTCATAATTCACTAGCGTGAAGTTACCAAAGAACAAGTAGTTACTTCTCATATTCCACATATCATGTATAGTTTTACTTTCATAATTTATACGTCATTCATAATCCATTTTCATAATTCACGTAGTCGATTTTAATTACCACTTATATTTTTTATCCCCAAAATTTGCATATCACCTGAAATTTATTTATCACAAATATTACTTAAAATAATTAATGTGTGGGAATAACATGCAATCATAAAAATAAAATTATGCGTCGTATGTAAGAAAGCAACAACATTTTTTATTATAAATTTATTCATTCAAATTAAGGAAACTAATTTATTGACTTAATCATGTGACAGTATTATCACAAAACCTCTCTATCATGAAATCTGGTGTAAAATCATGGATAACTCGGCTCAACCACAAAGAAATCATGTATATTACATTCTATGGGAATAAGCCATCCTTAGTTTCTAAAACATTATAATATAGGTATATAGAAGTAGGTTCGAATGAAATTGAAGTATAATAAAAAAAATAAGAAAAAATTTGTACCATTAAATTTACAATGTCAATAGTCATGATCGAATCAATAATTAACAAATATTCGTCAAACATTCATGGCAATATAGTAAATAAGTGTTCTGAGGTCAAATATATAAATTTGACTACTTATTAAGGGTACAAATGTCATTTATAATCACACGTGGCATCCACATCAACCCACTAGGCACTAACTGCTAACCCCCTGCCACGTCACCGTCTCCTCCACCAAGCCAAACCCGCCAGTCACACACACAAGCACACACCGCCACCGGAGAAACGTCCACCTCCACCCGCCATATCCACCATCCACCGTCGCCGCCCGTCTCTCTCAATCTCTCTCTCTGGATCACCTACAATTCATCTCTGATTTCTGCTCCACCGACGAACCAACATCTTGCTGATTTCATCATCCTCCGGCAGATGTTACCGGCGTCAGCCAATGTCAAGTAATCGTCGTCCATCGCGGTCACGTTAATTTCTCTCCGATCCCCTAACACAAGCTTTTCCCCGTGTTCAATTACAATCTCAGTAAAAAAAATGAGCACCAACTTTGAAACCTAAATTCAAGTTCAATAATTAAATCGATGATGGTGCCCGATTTTCAGACTGGCAGCGCTTCAATGGTAGCGACGGGCGGTGACGGTAGCGTTCGGAGCGAGTGTCAGGGGCCGGTCGCGTTTGAGGTCGTGAGATTGAGGATTTGGGGTGTTGAATTCTGAAAATTAGATCGCGGATTTGGGGCACTGAATCTGAAAATTAGAAAGTTAATAGGGACTTAAATGCAAATTGATTACAATTAATTATATTTCAATTTAATTTATGTGTTAAATATGTAATTTATTAAAAATTAGAAAATGCACAATATTAATAAGTAAATTAAATAATATTAATAAGTGAACCGAATCGATCGTACTTTTGTTGCAAATCAACATAAAATCGAACCAAAATATTGAATAATAATAATATTTTTTTTCACATAATTCGGTCGGTTTGGGTATTTTGGATATTTTAAAAGTAAAGTTGATGCCGTATAGACACAACCAAAATTTTAAACTAAAAACAGATAATGGAGTTGAAATATGAAAATCTCAACCCAATAATTTAATTTGCTCGGGTTCAATTGTTACGGTGCAATCTGTCAGTTATTAATGTGTAATTCATCAAACACTATCGTTTATGGGTTATGTCGTTATTGTGCATTCTTAATCAGCCCAACTTTTCCACCAAACAAAATTAAAATTGAACCGAAATAATTGATTTTTTCGATCGATTAACCGAAATAACCACAATAATTTAAACAATAATATTTAATCTTGTATTTTTTATTTTTTGGACGAATATAACATTATTTATATATATATATATAATAATATTTTTTTACAGTTCAATCAATTCGATTCTTTTAAAAGTAATGTCGAAATCGAAATAACCAAAAGTTAAAAAGTAGTATTTGATAATTGAGCTGATGTACATAAATTCCGATAGAAAAATTTAGATTATATAGTTTTGATCGATAATGTGTTGTATAACACACAGTAATGTGCAATCAGTCTAATACTAATGTGCATTGTTTCAATATCTATTGTGCGTTTGAACCGATTGAACTTTTGCTCAAACCAAAATGAAACCAAACCATCCTACTTGATTTATTTGGTTGGTTAGCCGAATTACCCTAATAATTTAAAATAAATTTTTTATATAAGTGATGAATTATTTATATTAAAAATACATTCAGTATTTAATAATTTAATTTAACATTATTTTATATTATTGTTGACTTAAAAAACATAAATAAAAAAATATCGAAATCGATAATGTGCACTCTCATAGTCTCATATGAACAAATGTGCATTTAGTCTAACATTATTGTGCATTATATTAAGGGACTATTTTTTTTTAATCATTTTTTTTAGTGTGCATTCCACCATTAGCAAACTTTAATATAATATATATATAACAAACATTAATTAACATTACTGTTCAATTATCAAATTATTTGAATAATAAAGGTATAAGTGACACTTTTTATTTTTTATTTAATATTTCATATTATTGTTTTATTGAAAATAATTTATATGTATTCTATAATATATAAAAAATATTATTTTATACAGTTTAGTGCTCCAACTATACACTAATGTGCTCTCTGACATGCATAATCGTGCACTCCATATAACCGTATTGTTCATTTTGCAGTATTATTTATTTTAAGTCCCATTTTCATAATAAATGATGTGCATTGTATTTATCACAATTGTGGATTTATTATGTTTTTATTAAATTACACATTAACCCCATAAAATATATTGTAATATAATTAAGATTTCTAAAATTGCACATTAGTCCTTTAGGGTTATCAAATTTAAAAAAATATGCCCTTGCCCTATTTTTTCGAATTGATTGTTGCTTGGATATCTACTGTCTGAAATTGGATCAATCTTTTTCTATTTTCAGGTCTCGTCGGACACGGCTAATGTCTGTACATGTAGGAACGGCGACGATGCATCTAAGGTTGAGATTCTTTGTATAATAAGAGGACTGGAAAGATTTATGCAACGCCGGAGGCCGAGGCAGCGGTGACAGAGGTTGAGTAGTCGGAGCTGGTCGGGCCGCGGTGTGTGAGGAGGGGAAAATGTCGACGGCGACACGACATCGCGATTGAGGCGTGGCAGGCGGCGGGGCTGTGTCGGGGCTGATACAGTGCCTCGGGCGGCGGCGAGCGGTGGGGATGCAGCTGAGTGTGTCAGAGGAACGCCGACGTCCGGTAGCTGTGCGGCGGCGATGGATGATGTGCTGGTGGGAAGTCGGAGGTGAGGGGCGGCCGTTTGTGTTGCGGTGGTCGAAAGTGAAAATCGGTGTGTGTATGTGTGTGGCGTGGGTCTTTGTGTGTGTTTTATGTGTGTGTGTGAGAGAGAGAGAGGTGAGGTGAGGTGAGGTGAGAGAGACATGAGGAGAATCAGAAATTGAGAGTGATTTGTTAATGGAGTGGGACCCACGTGTGGTGGTTTGGATGGGGTGGGCTTGAGAAATTACATTATTGTCCTTAATTAAGGTATAAATGTTGTGTTGTTTTATCGTGTTGGATCAATAAATGTGATGATCAAGATTTATTCTTATTTCTCTCGTTGACAAACATTCTCACTGGAACACGTCCCTCGTTATATATAATATAGTTGCACATATTTTATGTAATATCAGCTGTCACACAAAGCTCATCTGATCAGATTCCTATAAAATCNTTTCCCCATTTTATCATCTCACCAATTTCAGCTCTAAACATCCAATTTAAAACCCTAATTTTTCCC